AAACTTTATTTTAATTACAACAAGTTCAATTGGTCAGGCGAGAGCGTAAAAGCTTTATTTTTCAATCCAATTCGTTTGCTTTTTTAAACAATTTCGAAAAAGTTAAAGGTTTCTGGACATATTTTAATGCATGCACCCGGTATCACGCAATAGTGGTGTAGGGTAAGAAAAGAATTCTTTTTAAGATGTTTTGTGTATAGAATAAGTTTTATATTGTTGCTGCACATATACGTATATATGTATAAATATTCATGCAAATGTGTGTGCATGTGTGTGTGTGTGTGTGTGTGTGTGTTTTTATTTATTTTTTTATTTTATATTCAAATACTTTCATTACTCAAACACACCAAAAATTAGGTCAAACGGTCATGCTCACGCTTAGAGGGAGAAACGTTATGGTTTGATGTGTCTATGTATATGTAAATGTGAGCATGAGTGTGTTCGTGCGGTTATTGTTGCTGTTGTTGTACGACATCTCTTCTATGCACATACGTTGTGTGTATTGCTCTTCTCCGTTATTTTATCCATGCTCTTACAATTCAGTACGGTAGTGGTGTGTTTGTTGTTGTTTTTATTGTTTTTTTTTTTTTTTTTTTTTTTTTGTATATCTTAATGTGTACGAATGTTTGACTATTTCGTTTGGTCTTCTACTTATCCTGCTTTTTCTACTGCACTTCGTTTTGTGTGAATGTCTGGCGTACAATAAAAATTTTAGTTGATTGTGTAAAAAAAAGGAAAAAAAAATTCAGCAAAAATTTTTTTTATTTAGTTTTTATGTGGAATTTCCTTAAAATTGCATGATTATAAAGAAAAAGGATGAAAACAATTTACTATAGACTAACGGACCAATTGACTGACAAGCAGCCAGATAGCTTTCACTTAGAAATGTGCTCGTACATAAGTTTAGTAATACGTCAATAAAGATGATGACGTTGAGTGATGATAATGTTGTAACTATTGTTGCTGTCGTTGTTGTTCTTGTTGTTTTTGTCGTTAATGAAAACGATAACAAAGATACGACTAAGTGCACACTTTGTACTAGTCTTTAACTAGTATACCAAGATTTTAGCTGTATGCGTGCCAATGTATGTAGACTTTTATAAAACTTAATATATGTGAACGGATCCGTGCTCTAAATCAACGACGGTGCATTATTCATTCATAATCGCTGTTTGGCCAGATTTAATCTCTTCTCAGTCTCTATTTAAGTTCGAGAGCGGAAAGAGGCAAGAAAAAAGCAAGAAAAATTCATTTAATTTTAATTTCATTCTTTACTTTACGTTTCAATCGTTTTATTAAATATATCTTAATATGCTCGGTCGTCGGCTTATGAAACTTTGATTTAATTCCTCGAAACTCACGTTGAAAGACGCAGATGCATGCACGCAGGCATTTCTTTTTCAAAATTTCTTACGAATTCCATAACGGCAAAATATTTCTTCTACTTTTTTATGCTGTGTTGGCATAAAAAAAAAAGAAGAAAAGTCTTTTCCTTTTTAATAGAATTTTTGATGTCTCTAAAGAAGAAAAACGAGCTTGCTATGGGAGAGAAAATTAAATTTTGTTGTGGTTGTGTGTACGTTAAGAGCATAAGCCAAAAAGCCGAAAGCAATGTATAGACCAGTATGTATATGCCTAAATGTATATATGATTGTTTAACATACAAAGAAAAATGTATAAGAACGGATTTGGAAAAATTTTTAGATATTTAATAATAAGAATTTGATTTTACATAAAATTTTTTAAACAATTTTTTCGAAAGCCAATGTGTTATTGTCATTATTATTTTCTTCGTTTTTTTTTTTTTAAATGAAAACACGAGAAATACCGTAAATAAAGGCATATTTTAAATATTTTATGCCTTGCTATTTCAAAATTCTTTTGCAGCTTATATTCTTTTATGTCATAATTTTTAATAAATAGTTCAGCACAAGTGTATACAACACGGCGTATGAGTGACTTATGAGTTCAGCATGATGTATACGCAAACAATAGTTGTACAAAAAAAGAAAGGCTTTGCTCGAATCTTTTGTTACCCATAACCTATATATATTGTGTGTGCGACATCTTAAAAAAATGCTTTAGCATTATGTCAGAAAAATATCAGGAAATGCCATAACTATATTTTTTATTTTTATATATTGTCATCGGAATAAAAGCTGTTGTTGTTTCTCATCAAAATAAATTTCGTTTGAAACAATGTATATATGCCAGCGATAAGGCGGTTAGGTAATTATTGAAACATATTTAATAGCCATTTCCGGAATCGCGTCGAGTTCGTTTATCAAACTTTCTCGGAAAAACAAGTAAAAACATTACAGAACACGATTCATCGTTAACATATGACCATAATATCTATATATAATATACATATGTATACATAAAATATATATATATATATATAATATGCTACAAATTTTTGTTCAATACAGTTATTCGTAAAACGGCAAACGAAAAAAGTGACCAGATCCGAATTATGCCCTAATAAGGTTCGTCCTTAGGCAAGAACATGATGATGTTTTAATTATCGCCAAAATATCTTAGAGATTGCGTGGTGTCGATTGAATACAATGGCCCAAGACGGACGGACGGAAGGACTGGTTTGACGATCGACATAAAGAAATGTGCGCACAAACTTAATATACCCTTATACCACAAGTGATGTAGGGTGCATGAACTCAGATCTGCAAAAAGAAAAATGACGTAAAATAATGTTCAAAGTCAAATTTCCAAAATGGATAACAATATGAATAAGTTTTGAAATACTTCATATTCCTTTCTGTAGAGTTTTCAAAAAAGTGCCTTGGACAGCAGGCTTTTTCACCAATCAACAGTGGAACCACAGATGTCTTACATATACCTATATCTATTGTGACGAGTCATTTTAACGAATCACTTTTATAGAATCGCTACAATCACAAAAATGAACATAGGGGGCAAGAAGTTGTCGCAAAGACTCCTGAATCGATTAAAAATATGTGTGATGTATGTTGTGATCCGCCTGTACTTTCGTTCACATATAGAAGAAGCTAAAAGAAGCTTGGAAAACCACCGTAGTTTTCTTCATATTTTCGTCTATAACTGTTGATCCCGTGAAGACATTTCGTGCCTACTTGGTCGTGCCACTTGGTAGTGTGCAACGATAAAATTTTCATTTATTTGGAATCCACTTATAATTGAAACATGTGAGTTAGAGTAAGTTGGAAACAAATTGGAATCAAAAACTGCATCAGGTAGAGTCAAGCTGGTTATGAGTATTTAAAGGTCTTTTCATAGAAACAAAATTCTTGAACAAATATTAGAATTTTACGTGCTTGATTGCCATTTTTAAACTTAAAAAGATCATATTGACCCACCCGATAGCCCTATCACATAAAAAATGCGTTTGCGTTTACCAAATTTAGGTAAAACCGTTAGAATCACTAAGAAATAAGTAAGACAATAAATAACATCATAAATATAAATTAATAATATATTAATTTGAATGTCTGGGACCCACTATCTCAACCTAAATCAAAAATTACACACAAATTTTTCTTTAGCCTTCTTCAACCTTGATCAACTTCAATATGCTTTTAGCATAGGTAGCAAATTTATTGTGACCAGTAAAAAATATTTGCCTGGATATGGGGAGAAGTTCAATATTGGAAAAGAAATCTAGTCATTTATGAAGAGATTGAAAAGTGAGAACGTGAAATGTAAAATGACAATCAGAAGCGAAAGGGATCGTATTCTGAACTGCATAAGCAGTATTTAAGCAGAGTTTTACCTTTGCTGAGGTAAACACCCACAACAATCCACAATAGGAAACGCTTAAGTTTCCATCATGATAACTCCAAGCCATCCGGTAGTGATTAGGTGAAAATTGAGATGGCTTGACCGCCAAGTTTTGATATATGCGCCGTATAGCCGGTAGTTTGTTGGGTTTGATTACTGTTTGCTTCACTCTCTACAGAACTCTCTTAGCGTTGGCTATAAAAATTTACTTGAAACCAGAAATCTATACAAAGCCAATTATGGACAATAGAGAATTGGAGAAAATATTCTTCTTCTTTGGAGGACAAGTTACACAAACCGATATTTAAATATAAAATGCACAGTTTTCGCGTGCAAAAATCTCCGGTCATCTCAATATCAGCTACTGGAAAAGTGAGAACATATTGTATCTGATTGTTGCGGCGGCCTCGTAATACTTACAACTTTCGAAGCACAATTTCAATAATCTTGGAATTACATATCGCTTATGGTAGCCGAGTAATTCGGAACTTCTTTTTCTTTTCTTTAAACTAGATCCTTTCTTTTAGTACGCTATCCTTAAATCCTTTCTGGCTATTTGCCTTCTCGTCTATTTTGATAATGAATTTATTTACTTAAGCTATATTTCACGGACAGTACGATGTTATCCGTGATTGAAAAAGGGGAAGTTCTTAAGTTGCTTGTCCTCAAAGTAAATATCAAAGTAAAGTGCTCTTTTAATCCTCACTGCGTCGATTTAGGTGATTTTCTGCACTTGTCTCCGTGTGGTTCTCCTACGCGTTGTGCACTCACAAATCCAAGACACAAGTTTTGACATTTGATTGAACAAGTTTGTGTACTAAACTTGAACCTCGGATATTAGACGGAAATGGACTCGTTCTACCTACAGCAATGTGCGTAAACAAACAAAAAAAAAACCGTAGTGTAGAATTTTTTTCTTTCAATGACCTACAAATTCTGGCAGATCTCGGAGAAATGACTTCAATTGGCAGACGGATATACGGAAAACGGAGTCTAAACATGATTTCTGTTCCCGCTGAAGAACTTTTTAAACGAAAATCAGCCGTTACCCTGTGAAAGTGGGAAAGTGGAATTTTCAAAATACATCTATAAAAAAAATATAATTTATTTATTTTTATTGTTATGAATTTGTCAAAGAAAGCAGAAAATGACTAGATATAATATTGAAAATTATAATTTATATATATATATATATGTTTTTATACTATTAGTTTTTTACTTACCAATAGCAGGAGACGTAAGAGCAATCAGCAATTTTCGGAAATAGCAAATCTGTGGTCATTTTGTGTAGCTTATAATGCTTACAATGTTAACACTGAATAAAATAATTGCTACACGCGGAGCAGTTGGTAACTTTTGAATCGTTACAAGTAACGTCTTTTATTTCTTTTACTTTGCTGCTGCTATGCTAATGTAAAATTTGAGGGAAGCAATGAATCTTTCTGAGAGTGATGGCTGTATGCAACTGCGTTCTCCTTTCTTTATGGGGTAGAGAGGATAATGTTAATATGCTGCTGCTACTGCTTCTAGGTGGTAGATTAGATTAATTGCATACTGCTACGTTTTAAGCATTGATTATTCTCTTCAGCACTTTCTTATTATTAGCGGAAGTATGCTATAAATTTCTTTATAATCAAATCCCGCAAAGCATGCTCTGAAATATTGCTGTAATACATACAAGCACTTATGCATTCACACTACTACTCTTGCTCTAAAATTTCGCTTACGCACTGATTAACACTTTTCTGGTGTTCGTTGCGGAAAAAAAGTTCTATGCATACATTAAATTTATCAAACGATTCAAGTGATGTGAAATCGGGATACGCACAAAATCCTTATGCAATTTTATTACAATTTATTTTTTTTGTTCTTTTATCTCATTGAATTGTTTGTATGCAATTGGGTGGCGTTTCGTTTTTATGACACTACAGTGTTATGTGTGACTTGTTTCTATGATGATTACATTTACATTTCTAGAAAACAGAACGCATGTGATATTTCCTCGCGATAAAATATTTCACTGTGCGCGTGTAAGTATACGATGCGTTTCAAGTAAATTGTTTAAAGGCACCATATATTGGTTTAGTTTTTTTAGTTTTAAATTAGTTTAGTTTATCTTAATATTTTCACTGAATTAATTAATTCTGTTTATTGTTCAGATGCAATATGTTGTATATGCCTATGAATGGGTATATAAATGTATACACACATAGATATAAAGATGTTTTACCTCTTTATTTATTAGTAAGTGCAACGCGTTATTGGTGCGACAATAGCTCCAAGCGCGTTCCCGGTTTTACATCAACTCAAACTAAAGTCAGTGCGAATCCTCGAATAAAGTCATACAATTTGAGTGATTTTAAAGTTGAGTCATAATGAAAACCCATCATGGTCTGTGTAACTTGTCTATGCTCTACAATTCTCTCACAAATATAAAAAAAAAAAGAGTAAATAATAATCAAACCTGATATAATCACAAAACCCTTCCAACTTAGACGAGTGCATGTTGCATTTATTTATATTTCATTTAAGAGAATATGTGTATGCGTCTGATTTTGTCGAAATCCTTTAACATATGGCTTTGTAGATCTAATGGGAAGGAAAACTTGTTTAATTCAATTTAGTTAATGTTTGTATAAACTAAAAAACAAATGAAAAAAAATCCTAAAACTTGTTTGCGAGATGAAGTGACACAAATTGTCCTCATCGTTAAAAGCGAAGTTGATGTAATTAAAAACATCGCTATTAGGATGATAAGTAGCAGGCGGAAGCTTATAGAACATATGTTATTTTAAAATAAAAAGCCAAATAAAATGAAATCGTTCGTATTCCTGTATTCAAATACATAAATAAATGTTTAATAAGGGATCGCAAAAAAGATGCTAGAACTATCTGAACCTTACTGGTCTATTGCAGACTTTCAAATTATATTTTCCATTGCCTTAGAGTTTTAAAATTTCTTTATACTTCATTATTTGAAGATACTGTCTTTTGTTCATTGTCAACAATGCAGTTTAATGGCGCATGTTCAATAGTCTGTAAAACGTATACATTTTATATAGAATTCATTATGAAAAACGTAAACAAAACTTTCTTTAATTTCTTGTTGCTCTGTAGAGATACTCTTTTCGAAATAAAGCAACATTCTATTTCGTAAAATGTATGCAAAACTGCTTCTTCTTAATTGTTGACAGCTTGTTAGTTACAGCGAAGCGATAACTTTTAATAACACCGGCTGTGCTTTCGACAACATTGGCATTTCCGTAGCTATATCGTTACTTTCCAGTTTATTTATTGAGATGTTTGCAAAAAGTTAACTTTGAATCGGCCGACGTACTTTAAACAATGCCTCTTATATAAAGTATAGAAATTCTTTTATTTATTTTATTTTCGTTTGCCAGTGGAAAGCAAAAGACGACAAATTGCGAATCAGGCAGTTTAAGACAGCTGGTACTTTGCTACTCAAAAAGTCTTTAAATATATACACACTCAGCCCTTTTCTACACCACGTTAAAATGACACGGTTCACCAATATATTTTTTCACACGAATCTTTTGTTCTAGTAAGGATTCAAAAAAAAAATTTTTTTTTTTAAATTTTACTTTTGACAGTGCCTTGCCGAAACTTGTATAGCGAAAATTATATAAACAACTTGAGAAAGCAAAAAAAAAAGAGAAAAATGCTACTAGCCAATTTCATAACAACAACAAAAACGGAGACCGTTAATAACGGAGAAAATTCTTGATTTGAATCAGATCCGACATTCGTGCTAGACATATCCGACATATCTATTGATGATAGCATTTTTGATGCGGTTCGTAATAACGGTGCATGCTTGTTATGAAATAGCTATGAACACTGCGGATATTGATATTTATTCCTAATTTCGATTTTAAGTTGTGTGTCATATATAGTTATGGACTGGGTTTTCACTGTACGCTAATTTTAATTTGTTTTTTATAGTAAAAATGAATAGTTTTTGTTTCATGTAATAGGGATTTCATTATTACTTTTATTGCATGATTTTTTGTGAAAATGTGTACAGTTTTTTCATGTTCTACGATTTTTTAAAGTAGTGGAACATATTCCAAAATTTATCATGTACTTTTTGCACCATTTTTTTTGCACGAAGTTCTATGCAACGCATATGCTGTGTAAGAAAAGAATTGTGTGTATAACAGAAGGCCGAAAATGTTTATAAACATGTTTATGTAGTAAATATTTAAACTTAACAAACTTTCAAATTTTTACTCTTCTCGCAGCAAAGTGGTTTTTCTAAATTTTTTACGAAATATTTCTACTTCTATTTCTAATTTCCTAGAAAAATGAATTTGTAGTTAATCAAATCCGTGGGAAATGGCTAAACTTAGAGGATGTTTTTATTCATCTATCATTAATTACGGGGCACCACATTTTTCTAAATAAGAAGAACGAGTTCAGTATATAACACTTTTGATTGCATTTTCTAAACGAACTAATCTGAAGGCAAACCCAAACCCTACAAGTAAAGCAAAGTCATCTGGTGCATTTGTTCGATAAAGAAACGAGGAATGATATTTGGATGTTTGCATTGCAACGTTGTTTGTACTTATTACCCACTGATTATATATATTCCTTAAATAACAGAAGGGAAAAAACTGTTGTCTTTCTTTTTTTAACTGCGTAGTGGAAACCGCTGTTAAATGGCAAAAACAAGTAGCAGAGTACGATTGATAAAAATGTTAACTATAAACTATGTAACTATATAACTATAAACAGGTTGCTCTCGAATTTCATGCTGCAACTGAATATATATTTCCCTAGCGCCTCTTCATTAACCAACTAAGAATCATTCTAAACTTATGGGAATGCAACCAGCGGTACAAGTCACAGGAACAAACATTACAAAAACGCAAAATATTTTCTTTTAAGATTTTTGCAGAATATTTTGAATGGACATATAAACCACGTTCAGCAAGCCAAACAAAAAAAATCCAAAAATATTCATATTCACAAAAAATTGCACAATAGTTATTCAAGTAGTGGAATATTAAATATACACAGTAGGTACACTTTTTTTTTTGCTTGTGATATGAAGTGAGAATCAACTAAGCAAGCAATATTAAATGGGGATAATTTCGGTGTGTTTTTTAAAAAGAACTGCGACAATGATTTTATTTACTGTTGTTTTGTTTCGGCAAGTTGAGGTTTCGTATTTGTAGGATTTTTTGCATTTCTAATTTAATTAGTTGTTTAATTGAAGAAATCTATTTTTTTCTTCGTAAGACACTTTCAAGTAATTGTTATTTACACTACAAACTAAACAACTCCGGTCAGCTGTTTGGTTTATCAGCTGCTGTTACCATGCTGCCAGATATTTTAAAAGTTAGTTTTGAACGTGGAGAGTGATTAAATGTTAGAAAAATTAACACCTTTCAAGGCGTTAGTTATAAGGCGAATAAGATGAAAATGTTAGCATGTCAAAATAACAACTATCAGCTAGTTTTTCAAATGATCCTTCGAGTTCATGGGGTTATTTAGTTTATCGCTTAGTACGATAAATAAATACAATGATTTAAATAAACGATTCGTTGAGGCTCGCTGGAAAAAGAGACCGAAAAGAAATGTGAAACACTGAGAGCTTTTCTAGGTGTAAAAAACTTTTTTTATATTGTTACGGAACTGCCAAGTCCAGTCTACTCCAATTAATTGATTTTCCAAAAAAATAAATTGCCTAGAGAGGGAAAACCGAAGTGGACATTAACCGCGCGTCATTGAGCTGCCGGCCGAGGAAAACGATTAACGGAAAAGCCGACTAACGGATTAAAAATGAAGCCATGGACATAGGTAATAGTAATATGCTTGTAAAAATGTGTATAAGTAGACTATTTGCAGAAGGCAGAGTCAGTTGGACAAGAACATTTAAGTCGAAAAAGAATATTAGAGAGACTAGAGTCAGAAATCTATTGAATCTAATTTAACGCTCTTATTAGGCTTAGTGAAATTTGGTGGCAGCCTAATATAACTAAGGATTGAGCCTGCCGACCGTTGGTTGCGACAATACTGGGATGAAAAATTCTGCAGAATTAGGTGAACACGCTGTACTAACTAACTACAATAAGTACTTAGCGGCGACCTTGGGTTTTATTTTTCTCAATCAAATAGATCGAGTTGGCCTTTGCTTACTCTTCCGTTCATAGTATTCTGAAAATACACGCTTGAGATCCTATAAAGATTTTATATGATCATGATTACACACCAAGATTCTAGTTTACCTGTGTTAGCTTTTTCGGCAGTTGTTTGGTGTAAGTTATTTATATAGTTGCGGTAGAAGGTCTAAACTTAAAAATTAATACTTGTATATGATGATGGAATGACCCGATGCTTAAGCAAAAAATGTTAAACACAGCGATAAGTGAAAACTCGTAACTTACAATCTTGCAACTTAATCTATAACTTTGCATAAATATATTGTATTCCTAAGCATGGATTTGTTCGTTCAGCTGTCTCACTCATAAATAATAATACTGTGTATTGTGTAAAATATGTATCCCGAAGCGATTTTCGATTGTCTTGCACTTCTTTCTTCAAACTCGATGAAAGATAAAACAGTAAAAGGCCCAGTTAAACACTAAAGATATTGTAATAATAGTAAACATTGTAAAATAATATAAAAAAAATCTTTATTAATTGTTTAGCGATTTTATAAAAAGTTATACTTGGAAATTAATGATAAGTAATAATGCAATTGAAGGGAAATAAAATTCGATAAACACATTTGATAAGAGAAGACGACGATCGGTACACGTTATACCGTTGCGATGCACCAGAGTAGATTATATCGAATAAATTTTGAAAAAACTTGACGTATGCCCAAATACAGAAAGGGTTAGAGCTTGTAAAGGACCACCGCATTGCATGATTGGCTTATGAAAGAAACTTTTCTATCTTATCATTATCAATATATTGTATATTAAATGACGTATTAAAAAAAAACAAATTTTGCTAATTGTCGTTGTAATTGGTTTTGAGATTAAAAAAATATATATTACACCGTTTCATTTCTCAAAGAAAAGTTTTATTTGAAGCAAATCGATTTCGTGGCACTGCTACCATTAGTACTATTTTTTGTAAAACTATTTAGAGAAACTATGAGATAAAGTATTTCCTAAGAGAGCTTTATAGATTGAAACTCTAAAAACAGTTTAAAGATATAAACTTTATAGAACAGTAAGTTCGCGAAAAAATAGTGTTTCGGATTTCTTTTTTTTTGATCTCTTGGTGATATCTAAAAGTTTTTTTTTTTTTTGTTTTATTTTTTCCTTTCTTAATTCCTTCAAAACGTCTCGTTAGTGAATGTTCCAAAGTTTAAGTGCATTTGCTAAGATGTATGTTTTGAAATATATCAGCATTCGCAAAATCTGAGCAACCGTTAAGCTGTTGGTTCGTTGCACTGAACGAACTTACTGAAGGAATATCGCTTTAAAGTAATTCTGTGCGTTTTTAAATATTGTAAGTAAGAGATTTTTTCACTAATCCTTTGGAATTTCTTTTACTTCCCTTAGTTAATTGTACATATTTTGAACATTTATATTACCTTACGATACCGAAACTTGCACCATCACTATCTATGGTCTTTTGCCATTTATCGGTTGGGGCTGAAAAACCATCGACTCGTTTTTACACATTTTTAACTTCTGTAAGCCACTGATCTCTTAAATATGACTGCATCGACCTGATGAATCGGAAGAGGTCAGGTCCGGAAAATGTGTGGGGTGCAGTAAAATTCCCTAGTCTAACCTAAAAATTATTTCCTTGGTTGCTTTTGCTGGAGACGGATGGACATATGCGAAATTCATAGTTTCCATGACAAAACTTTGCTTCCCGAAATCTCGCAAACTATATTCCAATGGTTTCGTACCTTATTTGAGCATTTTCGTACCTTGTGCCACATTTGTTTCACGCTTAATCCAGATAAAAAGATAGAAACTGCACTTCCATAGATGACATCTATCTCTTCAAACTTTGGTATGCACTGAAACAACTGAACTGAACTTGCATCGTTCGAACGTCAGTAGCTTTGTTACCTTTGAAATTTTGGGAAAATTGAAGGCGTCGGGCACGTTTTAGGAAGCAACCAAATTCAGGTAAAAGTATTTGTATATGGGCGCGATTCTTATGATAAGCTTATGGAGTTGGATTAGGTTATGGTATAATATGAAAGTTCACATCTAAAGTAAAACTTTGGGCGGAAGTCTACTCAGTCAAACCAAATGTAAAGTGTCTGCCTAAAGATAGTGGGCGGTTTGTTGTTCGCCAGATTAATAGATTACGAGTCGAGCAAATATTTTTTTTTGAATTAATTCTTAAAACAGGACTGAATACCATTTCTGTTGTTTCTTAAGAGTTTGAATATGAGACCTTTGAAAGAGCATAGTACGTTGAAAGGTTAGAAATGGAGCATAATATATGATAATAAGTCAACTTTTTCCCTTAAAAACGATTTGTATGAAAATTGTTTTATAGACTCTCTAGAAAAGCTAAATTGGATGTAGTCTAAAAAAAAGGAAAGGAAAGGAAAAGATATCAGATTCGTTCGAATTTGTCCAACATTGCGTTACCTTGACATCTAACGTTAGGTTTATCTCTAGATTCGTATATGATTGCGAAATAGGATATATCTCATATTCGGTTGTACATCGCATACCGTGCCATGTACATCACATATTGTACTTCCTATACCATTCCATATAAACATCATATATCGTTCTATATACATCATATATCCTAACGTGTAAATTGTATATCGTGTTGTATATATTGCTTATCGCGCAAACACATAGTACATCGTCCTATGTACTTCGTGCATACTCCCATATACTTTATATATATTATATATAGTGTCGCATACTTCAAATATGATATCCTGCCCACAATTGTGGGCGAATTATTGGATTCATTTAGCAAGTCATTAGATGTGATATAATGAAAATGACAAACAAACGTACGGGCGCTTCCAAAGAAAAAATGTATGCTAGTAGACACACAAACATGTGTAAATCAATATTAACATTCAAATTGGTTAAGAATATGTGTACATTATGAGATCCTTGATTCGCGACGTAATGGGTTATGGAAAACAAAGAAAGAATAGAGAAATTGCAAGAAACTTCGTACTCAGCTTATTATTTTCCTAATTTTTGCGTATACGCAATGCGATATAAGTGTGACGTTGCATCTAAGCACAGTCATGGTTTTATAAAAATATATAAACAACATTGGATTCACATACACACACACTCGTTGTCCAGTTAGTGTTCAGTTTTCTTTTCCCGTCCTTTTGGTCGGTTTACAAAAGTTGTTTGACTTAAATATTGAAAACAGTTATATGCATATTCTGTGTGTGTACGAGATTTTCTTTTTTTGCACGATTTTATTTGTCTCTTATCTACCCTTTGAAAAGGGTATAAGAGCATTTTTTTGTAACTTTAAAATAAGATACTTTTTTTTTTACGAAAAGCTTATACTATATATGAAATGACGATATATTTCATAGGGATTTACAAACGGCTCACCACACTCAACATACTATATAAAATCCTTTTTAATAGTTGATTAGAGAGAAGATTTTTTTTTTGATAGTGTAATAAGGCATATGTGCATAGTAACACACATTTATGCATAACTCTCAGATTGGTGGTGATTAACGTAAAAGACTGTTGTTGCTGTTTGTATTGAAACTTGTGCTAAGGCTTATGCCTGGAAGAAAATAATTTTCTATAATTTGTGCTTATGTATAATTGCAAGTGTTTGTGTGTATGTGCTTGTATTAGTACAAGACAAGCCCATTTTGATTTAAGTATATTGCGGTGATCGTTCGGTTAAAGCATTTAGTTGTGCATAACAATTTAACCAAAACGGTTGCATCTCTAAAAAACTAATCAATCAATAAAAAGTAAAATAGAAAATAGAATAAACGTAACATAACATACATAAGTAAATAAACAACGAAATCCTAAAGTGAAGTATAAAAAATAAATATTAAAAACGCGCCTCAAAGAAACACTCGCGCTTAGCAGCTTTTGCAGCAACTTAAAAAAAAAAAAAAAGAGGTAAAGAGTTATTACAAAAAATATATCATTGAATTCCGTAGAATATGAATAAGGAACAAAAACTAAAAGCTAACTGATAAATATAAAAATAAGGCATTTTTCAAGAAACACACATCTCCCATTTCAAGATTTCATTATTCATTCTTTCATTTCGATTATTATAACAGCATAGAAGTGGTTGAAGTGGTCTACTAATTTCCATATTAAGAAAGCAGTTGAGCCGGTTGGTCTTTTAATGCCATATGTCTCTATATAGATATCTTGGAGTTTCTCTAAAGTGTGTTAGAAACATTTAGAGTTAGAAGTGAGCAGCATTTCATTCACTGATAATACGGGTTATATTTCATGTAGATGTTAGTGCTTTTTTTTTCTCTTTTGTTGTTTAAGTTGAACCACTTGTCTCTTCGCATGTGTCGTGACGTTGTTTACTATTGTTGCTGATATTTACTTTTAGCTGTTAATCGTGTCATGAATTTTTCAACAAATTAAATCATTTCGAAAAAATTTGTATTCTTTTAAATCATTCTGTTTTTCAATATTAACAAAGCAAATAATTGTTACTAAATGCAAATAAATAGTTTGTCGGTGATCTGTAATTTGATGAGATGAAGCTGATGACGATGCTCATGATGATAACGATTATGAGTATAATGATTCAGGTGAATTATTAGTAATTAAAAAAAAAAAAAGAAAAATAATAATAATTTAATGTTACTAAAAAAAAAAAAAAAAAGAAATAAACAGTGACGAAGACTGATAGTTAACGTTTCAAAAAGAAACAAAAAAAAAAACAATTATTTGATAACAGTAATCTACCAACGCGCTCATATGAACTTCAGTTCCGATCTGGTGCTATGCAAATTTTATTTTTTTTTTAATTAAACAAGTCAAGAAGTTGATTGCTTTTCTTAAATAATTTCGCGAATAACAAAATATTTTCTTGTCTAAATTAAAATGAAAAAATAATAATAATTATAATAAATTGAGACGAGGAGGACCAGCAATGTTTTCTTTGTCCACTTTTCTTAAGTAACTAGGCGAAGAAATCTTAAAAAGAATAACGTTTCGATTATGTTCAAAAAACGTGTAGGTTTCCTTTGAATATGTTCGCCTACTGTTACACTTCAAACCGCTTGAGATGAGCGTGTGTTAAGTTTGTACGGATGTATGCAAGACAATCCACGACATTTTCAGATAAGAGCAATTCAGATTCATTTCAGCATGGATTTAACACTATCTGCCCGTCAGTATGTCCTTCCATTTGTCTCTCCATCTGTGTGGCCGTCTATCCACAGGCCTATTCTTCCTTCCATCCGTCCGGTTAACACTCCGCCTATCGATCCGTTTGTCTCGATTGCCCCTCCACCATTCTGCCCACCTGTCCGTCTCTCTGTCCTTCCATCTGTACATCCGTTTGTCCATCCGGCTGTCTGCCCGTCTAGCCGTACGTCTATCCGCCGCTTATTACCCTTGTCTCTCTGCCCGCCGTATTTTCTGCGCTCAATTTACAGATGACTGGCTTCACCGTACGGGCGAAGCCGTACTTTAACGCTCTATTTTGAACAGTTCTTAAACAAAAAAAATTCATAAATTTTTATAAATATCTCGGCCAATTTCGAGATATTAAACTTTGATAGAACTAATTTTTGAAATCCCGCCCATATTTCTCATAAAGAATAAGGATTTGTAAGGCTCATCTTGCAATATCAAGTGATGAAAATCGATCTAGAACAGTGATTTGCTATATAAATTTGGCCCACGCTCTCATATGAAAGCAAGTTGTTATGGATTTGATATGACACACACAGGTTTCGATACGATGCGGTACACATTGCCTTAATTTTTATATTATATCTAAGTTTAAATTATATTGTTCTGTAATTCATTTTAGTTTAAATAAATAAATAAGTTGCGTACAACACGGTGCGAATTAACCGTGTTAAATGAGAGACACCTGTATTGCTAAATTTGAAATAATTGCATTACTTTTCGAATCTTCTTTCGTCATAAGAGTGCTAATGAAAAATAGGTCTTTATATGGCAACGAGGTATAATTTTTAGTATTTTGGAACATAATGACGTAAAGTGTTTCACGATCGGACGGTAATGTTTTAACTTCTTTTTAACATTATAGTATTGCAAGTGACGCGATAAAAATTTGTGATTATGTCTGCAGGAGGGATAATTGAATGTTTGGCTTGTTTTTAGTTTATCCAACTTTGCGTAAAACTTATGGATAACACTCTTGGATGTAATCTATTAAAAATCTGCTAAACATCGATAACGCTTTTTTTGATACGTTATCTATTGACTCTTCGATATGGAAAGTAGGCCAGATTTTATAAAAAAAAAAACGAACGTTTCGCAAATCAAGAACTTAATCGGTCTGTCCCTCTCTTCATTAGAAACAGATCTTCTTACATAAAATTGACCTTAATTCCTTGAGAGACTTGAGAGAAATAAACAAATACCGTTAACATTAGGTATTACGTAAAATCGGTATTGTTCCAATACTACGTGCGAACACGTGATCAAAACTTTGAATTATGCTTTCGATGCGTATGTTATGGTCGCTAAAATGTCCCTAACTTTTGTTAGCTGATCAAATGAAACTTTCCTAAGCGTTTCTATGCGATATGTGACGAATGAAAACATAACCAAAACACTGACTGCCTAATGGCTCCTATTAGAGTCGAAGTTTCTATGCTTGTACTTTGACCTTACAAGCTTCCTTGCTGTTATCGATCAGTCGTAACTGACGTCAATCAAATCAAAGTTTTAATCATTGATAAATGCAAGCATGAACGCAATGTTGACTTAATGACTAATTGCATCGGTTTGAATCGAAATTTTGATGTTGATATTTATACCTCGAAGAACCGCAATTGATATCAGTCAAGTTAAAATCTTAGCCGCTTTCAACAAGGTTTGGCGAATACAGACATAACCTCATTATTAACCGTGAGATTTGTAATTATTTGAAAGCGTTTTGCGTTGGGGGAGGATCGCAGACATTCATTGTTTGACATATGCTGTCTACTTAAGATTTCCTTAAATTTGTTGATTGTATTTTTGTATTATCTTCATTTTTTACTGGGTATTTAATTATATTGTATTTTATTTTTATTTTTTGTTTTAGTTATTTTAACAGTTTGTTTACTTTGCTTTTAAAAAAAAATTGACAGGATTAGAGAGAGAGAGCATGGAGTAAAATCACATAAGCATTTTGTTTATTAAGGGCTCAGAAGTCGGCACTTCAAGTTGTTCAGTTTCTCGTATATGGTTATTTACATATTCATACAGTAGCATGAAGTTATTCTAATATTGTAATTCAGTTTGTAACATTTCTAAGTAAGCATAAAAAACGTTATGTATGTACGTAAAACGCTTGCAACGGGTTAAATGCGTGTTAGGAATGAACAAAAGCCTTAACATCTATCCTAACGTTGTGTCGAAAGTTGAAAAGCAAAACATTTGGGAGACTCTACTTTCACTTCAGATACAAATTTTATGCCTAATACCAACCGTGGTACGAGGTGTATTGTGTTAGTGCGTACGTAAGGATCTGAAATAGGCCCCACCTTTTATTACACCTAGGGTTGTCCGTCTCTCTGATGTCTGTCCATGTATTCTGCTGTTCAATCAACAGGTTGCAATTCAAAATATTTCGGACCCCTACTGGTACCGCTTTACTTTGATTACTCGTTGAAAAATTAGTCCTATTCCCAGAATTCACCGATAAAATCTGCTCAGTAATATTATATCGTCCTTCCAGTTAGGAATCTACTTAGGTGTGACTACTTAGGATCGGATGTGGCAATTTTTCGGATCCCTTGCATTCGAACGCTTCCTACGGAAGGCCTAATATGCAATACTTCTTTACGAAAATTCGTTTAAAACAATAATAGGATGTAAAAATTAATTTTATGGAATTCAGTCCACGTACATATATCGTTTGGATCGCGATTCGTATAAAGCATCTAACGAAACATAAGTCTTTATACGCTAAAAAGGTCTAATTTTGAAAATTTTATGATGAAAATTATTTCTCAGCAAATTATCTGCAGCGAATTTTGGTGACCTAGATCTACTTTTTAGGCTCTAAGCAGCGGCGGCATAAGTAGCATGCCGACTTTGTTATGACGGGAGCAATTGGAAACTAACAAAAACTTTAGCTCGGCAATTAAGTTCGCTAACTCTGGATAACGTTAGCTGGTGTTCTCCAAGATGAGGGCTTTCACGAACATTATGCATTTACATAAAAATTAAATAATGCATAATTTTTGGCGTGCTTTTAGAAAAATGAGTGAATGACTGCATTAGGCGAAGTGATGTAGTGCATCTAAAAGTCGACCTTGCCCAGCTACGGCTTTCTTACCTATTTTATTTGTTTTTTTATGTTTTTCGTGGTGACATTTAACGTATAAATTGTGTTAAGTTCAGGTTTACTTTCCTTTGCATAATGCAATCTTTAAGAGTTTGACTTAAAACGCTAAGGCTACCTTAGCTCTCCTGTGTATTTATTATTTTTTTGTTTTTTGTCAATGGCTTTCTTTTATATTACTGGTGTAAAATGTTGTTCCAATGACAGTGTGTTATATTGCGATGCCCTAAACAATTGTCTTCTATTTTATTTTGCCATAAAACTTAAGTGATAGTTATGAAATTTTTTAAACGCCTTTTTTATATATTTATTATGCGGTCGTAATAAAATATTAATAAACTGCAGCAGCATTTGCCGGATATAATTAATGTAATTAGTTTCCTGTTTACTTAACCTCACAGGCTTCATCCAATAAGTGGATATGAAATTTATTAGAATTTCTCTCTTTTTAATGATGCATATGTTATTAGCGCTATGCAGTACGCCGCAGATATCGAAAGTTTTTCTCAAGTTCACGTGCAATCCTTTACATTTCAATTCCAATACACATTTCATTTGTGAGCATTTCATTGTAAGCAATATTTGCGCTAGAAAAAGTAAAGTTAATATAAACAATTTTCACCAAGTGTCAGGCACTCGACTCACCACTTGGCTACTTTATCTTTTAATCAAGAAATTTCAGAAACTATTATTGCTATTATTATTATTACTGCTAAGTGATACAATTGGCCATAAAATTGAAACGTCTGCTGGGCACGCATAATATAGATTGAGGCATATACGAGGCGAAATGAATTTGTTTCGCATTCTTAATGAATACGAATTGATAACGAATATTATTAATTGTCCCGCAAAGAGATAAAATAAAACAAAATAAGAAAGAAAGTCTAGTCCGGCGTTTATCGACTTTGTAAATACCCACCATCAGATTGGATATACATAACTTGATTACACTCACTTTGTATTTATGTTAGCCTATATACAATGCTACGCATTGCAAATTTGACCTTTCTTTGGCAAAACTAAAAATTTTATTTACTGCTTTCAAATAAAAACAGATCGAACTGTATAATTTCGCTCCCGGGAATGAGGGCCAATGTAACCGTTTTATCCGTCTTCTCTCCTTAGTCAAGTCCATATCAATTACACTTAGAATTCTATGAGAGAGAGAGGGAGAGAGAATCCTTTGCTTAGCTATGATTCCCATAATGAAGTCCCCCCCTCTTGCCATGCTTTGGTTTATAAGAAATTGTTGTTGTTTTTTTTTTTAATCGACGGAGTGCCAGCGCACTGCCAATTAATCGCTATGCAATTGGATCAAGTGCACCCGGGAAAAAACTGACGCATTTCTCCCTTTCTCCGGTATCCATTAATATGACCGCTAATTCCAGAGATTTGAAAAGCCCGCTTCTCAAACATGCTCAGGCTGGATAGCTAAAACCAGTGTTCTGTGCATCATAGTTTCCCGGAAGTATTATCTGCTCGTTAGTTGAAATAACGCAAGTAACTCGAAAAATGATCTATGATCAGTGAATAATTGGGTTAGGAAAAAATGGAGTTCCTGCCTATCCTGCATACCCACTCGTCTACGTTTGAATATAGGTTCACCTTTTTTTCGACTCGTTGTCCCCTCGCTGCCGGATAGCAGTCTTCAATCTGCAGACATCGCAGTAATATACTCCGCCAGTAGTTTTTGCATTTTTGCTGCTACGGATACATAATTGCTCCTTCAATATCAGGTGGATGGGTATTATTTCCGCCAAGACTGCTGTTGAAATTGCACAGCCTTTGAACCGTCAGACAGGATATAAAGCCGCAAGAAGGCGACAATCGAATCCTTAATCTAATTCGAAGACGGTGGGGGCGTGGGATGATATAGTGGGTGGTCAACACTCCAAGGCTCTATCTCTGGGGGCGGTGGAGGGTAATGCGAAAGTTGCCAGACAGCTGGCACTACGTCCAAGCAAGAAGAAAAAAGACAGCTTTCTACACAGTGAACCACAAGTTAGGGGGGGTCAGTTAGATTCGCGGATAGTCAGCCTTCGGTTACAAATGACACAAATAATTTTGCACACATAAAAGTTCATTTACGCAGTAAGTATGCTTTCGTAATATTATTTACTGTAGCACTTGCTTGTGTGAATGCGTCACATATAACAAGTATTCATTATATTGAATGAATGATAATACTAAACAAATAAAAAAAGTACATTGTATTAAATTTTTGGAAATTTTTTATATATGCAAATAAACAATATATATTCATTTGGAAGATGGTTACTTTAAGCAAATACAATCGATCAAAAGACCAAATTTTCCGTCAATATCCGACATGTCGATGGCTATGCTGCAGCCATTTTAAGGAGTTTTGATAATTTTTTATAAAAAATGACGGATCTACATCTGGAAGAAAAACGGATCGTGGATGAAATTATATTGATTTAACACCAGCATGGCTTCAATTTCGATTTCGATTTCGATTTTTCGGCTAATTCGGCAGAATGGAATGGAAATGTCTATACCATGCATAAACTTTCCGTACCAGTTATTGCAACTTTCATCTCTCAGTGATGATTACAATAAGCGTAGTCTTATGTGGAGCTTATATAGTCTTTTCTTATTTTAATTTTGCATTCGCAATAATGCATTTTAATAAAAGCATTTCAATGCTTTAGGAAATTTATATGAAGAATACGATAGGACTGTCTGCGTAACACTTTAGTGTAGCCGTAAAATTTGCTTTAACGTATGTTAGCAGCACAGTTTGCACTCTACGCTGATGGCTCACGCAGACTGCCGTTTAACATTACGTATCCAAAGAACAACGTTCGTACGCATGCCGAATAAGACCTTGTTATACATAATACATATCTATGTGTACATATTTGTGCAAACGTATATATTTATTATGCGCATATGCAACTTTTTTTTTGTTCCTGGGTAATATAATTATTTTGAATGTATTATTATGTACTATAAACATATATAAATACTTTTTATACATAATAATTCATTAATATTTTTACGCATATATATAACATTGACATACATTAAAAAGATTAGAAATACTTTTTTACTCAGCACTAGGCGAAGGATCTCGATTAACAACTCAATGGTCGTGAGGTTCAAATTTCAAGAACGGTAAAGCTTACAATAAAAAAGGCGCTAGTCTTAGATGCTAGCGCTTTAAGACTTCAGCTTTCAAATCAAACCCTCGTATGCCATAACGGTTTAATTTTTAACGTTTTATGATGAAACTTTCAAAAAAAGAAAAAAAAGTTTAATTATTACATTTTAAATTCTCAAATAATAAGAACGGTTTACTTCTATTCCAGCTAAGTGTTCATTGGCTTTCATAATGGCAGGTAGTGGCCCAAATAAGGAAGAATTTCAAGCGCTGCACAATGACGAAACAAAAGCGCGTATTGCATCAAATTTAAATCATCCATATGAACCTAAGCCGTTAGGTGAGCAATCACGAGCCTTAAACCGTCAAACAATTATGGTTATTATCGGTAATTTGGGCGTTATGTCTATCGGTATGGGTCTTGGTTTGCCAACAGTAACACAGAGGCCTATGACAGATACCACCGAGCAGGTCTACTTAACACAGTCGCAGTTTACATGGTTCGGTAAGTTAAGGAATTGTGGGATTATCACAGAGTCAAAGTGTTTCAACTTCTATTTTAAATTCTATTTGAAGCTTCTCTTAATTTATTGGCGGCCCCCTTAGGTGGATTATTGTCGGGAGTTCTATTGGATAAACTAGGACGCAAATGTACCATATATTGCTTAAATATTTTAGGTTTAACCTCTTGGATTCTATTAGCCGTAGCCAGTAAAGAAGATAATGATATTATGTTTCTTCAATTAATGGCGTCAAGATTTTTAGTTGGTAAGATTTTAAAAGCTGGGCTCAAATTCAATTATTTTAATCGTTTGCTATTTTAGGTGTTACTCATGGCTTATCCAGCGCACCGGTGGGCGTTTATTCTGCAGAGATTAGCACGCCTAAGATACGAGGCCGTTTAATTTTGGGAACCTCAATCTCGGTATCACTGGGTATTACGGTGATTTACGTCTTGGGCTATTTCATACGTACCGATTGGCGCTTAATAGGATGGATATGCACCGGCTTCCAAGTGTTGGCATTAATGAGCGTTCTACCCATGCCAGAGTCACCGAATTGGCTGATATCGAAAGGCCGTTTGCAGGAGGCACGTAAATCTTTAAACTACTTTAGAGGCTTGGATAAGAAAGGTTGGACCTTCAACATTTTAAAATTTTGTATTGAAAAGTTTATTGAAATCAATCTTTTACAGCGACTATCACACATCCCGAAGTATTGGCCGAATTCAATGTATTGCAGAAGAATATTCATTTGGCAGAAGGTCAAAAAATGCCTTCATTTTGGAAGTCTTTACGTTTGCCGGAGGTTTACAAACCTCTCCTAATACTAATCGGAATGTTCACCTTTCAGCAATTAACCGGCATTTTTGTTATCATAGTATATGCGGTACAAATTTCCGTAGAAGCGGGAGTCACAATGGACCCTTTTATGTGTGCAGTTCTGATTGGGTTAGCTCGTTTAATAACCACTTGCCCCATGGCGTATTTGTTGGAAAAGTGGGGTCGCCGTCGTGCTGGTATAATCTCCGCCGCTGGCATGACTGTTTGTATGATTTTGTTAGCGGCACAAAGCTATCTTCGTGTTATACCATTTCTGCCTGTCATTGCCATAGTATCGTTTATCGTTTTAAGTACTTTAGGTATATTCACTTTACCCTTCTTCATGATATCCGAGTTATTCCCTCAACATGTCAGGGGTCGTGCTTCGGGCCTGACAGTAGCTTTCGGTTTATTGGCGGCATTTTTCTGCACTAAAACCTATCCCGGAATGAAAGATGCCATTGGAAATGAGTATTGCTTTGTAGTATACGGTGCAGTCTCATTTGCGGCTATGATTTTTGTATATCTCGTATTGCCGGAGACGAGACGCCGAACTCTCTTTGAAATTGAAGAGCAGTTTAGAATGAAAAAACCCCTTAAACCCACTCAAGTTGAAATGCGTGAGATTTGTATAAAGTAAACGAAATTAATGGAATGATTTACGCAAGAAATTATAGTCGTTAGGGAAATAAAGTTAGTGAATTTATTTTATCTTAGACTGTGATAAATTTTACGAATTAAATATTAATATTTATCTTTAAATTTCACAGAGTTCAAATTGTGTAGAATTAAAAGCTCATTATATGATTATCTAAGAATAATAAATCTAATGGAAATAAAGTTGTGTTTGCGCATTACTATGTCTCCTACGCCATTTGTGGTAAGGATATATTAACTTTTGTGCGTATGATGCAACGCCAAGCACGACTTGCTATAGATGCCCAATACATGATATAAGTAAATTTAAAATTATTTTCTGAATTGCTTTATCTATATGTGTTTGTCTGTCTGCCCAATTGAAGTCCACGTACTTTTGTTTTCCATAATGAAATTTTATACACCAGTGTCGTCAACAGGGCAAAGAACTTTAGAAAACATGGATTGAATTGGACAATTTTTACGTCCATTATTCTCTAAAATTGTATATTGTCACTTTTTGCATGCTACACCATTTGTGGTGTAGGGGATATTAAGCTTGCGGGAACGGATTCTGAATCATAAATAAATAAATTTCCTGCATCGATGTAGGTTTGCCTATCCATCTGTCCCTCTGGTGTATCTCTACGTCTCCTGTGTATATGTAGAGGTCACAATTGTCGATATATTTCGATGCACTTTTGTACACTGACCTGTTTTGGCGCAAGCACAACCCCTATTGCAAATGGTTCAGATCGCATCGACCTTTTCGACCTTTCGAGCTTCTCCTTATCTCGATAAGTCGTTATAAGAAAATATATTGTAAGTTTTAGATTTTCGCAGCAAAAATTTCGTAGTAATAGTATTTCGCAATTCCAAATTGGTGTGAAAGATTTTGAATATCTTGCCATATAAAAGTTCCTACGCCCCCTTCACATGTTAAAATGAACTAATTTGGGATAATCCTTTATGGAATTGAATGGGTCTCAACCAAGAGGGTCTAATTTGTAGTATTTTAGGATGAAAATTTGTCCTTAGCAAATCGATCATAGAGAATCACATAGGCGCACACCCTGGGCTCTCGTGCAAGCAAGCAAGCGTACAAAATTTGCTGCCTTTAAAGAACGAGCATATATATTGTATAAAAATGCCAACCATCTGAGAATATGTTTGAATTTATGTGAATTGGATCTCAAGCAAGCCTCTCTGGGGCGACAAATACTATTCTGTGGTTTGCTATGACGGGAGCAATTGGAAAGTAATAAAATCTTTAAAAAGCAAATTAAGTTTGTCAAATTTAGATCACGTTGATGTTTGGTTGTGCTCCAATAAAAGGGCTTTCAAAAAAATTATGCATTTACGCAAAAATAAAATATGATTTTTGGCGTATTTTCAACCAAGCGAAGTGGTGTACTCTGTGTAACGGCCGGCCTTGTCCGACTACAGCATTCTTACTTATTTTGTTATAATCGTCGTTAAGAATTATCCTTTCAACTGGTTGTCCCTCCGTGCGTCTAATATTTTTGCGTGTACTTTTGTGTTCAGTCTGCAAGTCACAAATTTTAGAACGAGCTCAATGGAATTGGGTGTATTGACGTGGTTCTCAAGGAACAGGAACGGAGACGATTAAAAATGTATGGCATTGCGCTATTTTTATGACTATTCGTTATATGTTTCCCAGTTTGGGACTGAACCACAAATATTCCTGAAGAAGAATCAGTGAGCACTATTTTAGCAACGTCAATTACATGTACGAAATATGCATGTGATGGGTCCATTTCTTGAATTCATTCCGATGTCCGAGGGCTATTAAAAAAACAAGAGCCTTCATACTGCAACAAGGGGTGAATTTTATAAATATCTGTATAGCAGAGACACCGATGTACACATATGTGCCGGCACTTTATTCCAAGATTTGCTTTGTTGAGATTAGTATATTCTAGGGTACCCTGTAAGCATCGTTATCAATAGCAGCAGTAACGCTGTTAATTAGCAGCCATTTGCACGCTTGCTCGGCAAGGTTTCTGTTAACGGTTTCTTAATACGACGTCGCATTCTTTCCAACGTCTCCAAAGCAGAAGCGTACACAATTCCGTGTTTTTAAGTGAACACGAATTATGGTATGCAAATAAGTGTGCATGTACGGAAAGAGACCAAACAGCGAGTATTTATGTAGCAAATATAATTTGTTTTCTTTTCATCGTTTATTTTGAAGTATTGAAGCATTGAAGAATTCTGAATTTCATGTTCGCCAAATGCTTTGACAAATTTCAATAAAATTCTCGTATCAACAAATGAGAAGAAATTTGTTATCTTAGTTTTAATTTGTTTATTTTATTTGTATATTTATTAATTACACTTGCTCACGCATATATATATTTGACATATTTTATCCAATTTTCGATATCGCACATGAGTTATTGTACGCGGCGTCTATTTATATTATACTATTATACCCTACACCACTTGTGATACAGAGTATATTGACTTTTTGCGAACGTGTGCAACACGCAGAGGAGTATAACAAAAGGTGGGATTGTAACCTTTTATTATAATGATCGCTTCAGAATTTTCTTAATCATTTTCTGAATCGATCTAAGCCGATTTGTCCGTCTGTCTATCTGTCTGTCTGTCTGTCCGTCAGATGTTTATCCATGTAAATTCGTGTTCAAACTACGGGTAGCAATATTAGAACTATATTGATGAAATTTGGTATACTGGTGTGCTTGAATCCAATGAGGAACACTGTTGAAAACGGTCTAGATCTATCCACTTTCTCGAACACTCAGTGCTCTATTTTAAAAAGTCGGCATAATTGCAAATTGATAACGAAGTCAACCTTATCAAATTTGGCTTACGTAGGCCTATTTTTTGGACCTCTTCTCAGGAAATGCAAACCATTGCATGCCAAAAAATCTAATTATTAATGCTTTATGATGAAAAATTGTTCCTGATAGTAATTCGAAATAAAAGTCAAGTGGACCAAATTTGGCTCACATCGGTCTATATTTTGGCTCCCACTCTATATAAAACTGCTCAGAAAAACGTTCAATTTGTAATATTTTACGAAGAAAATTGATCCATGGTAGCAAATTAAGCCAAAAAGGTAACAGTCGGGAATTTGAAGCACATATGAGGATTATCATGAAAAGCAAACCCTTGTATGGAAGTTTCCTATGGCGGCAATTAAGAAGTAGTACAATTTTTGGGAAGTAAATGAAGGTTGCGTCATATGATACTTTTGGACATCGTCCGATATGCGGCCTTTCATGAAATATACGTCTTTACATGAAAATAATGTGTACTTTTCGGTGGCTTATTGCCGGGACGAGCGAATAATTGTAAGGGGCGAGGTAGACCATTCAATGGCCTTGTTATTACATTGTTTAAATAAATAAAATATTAAAAACTAGTCCTTAATCCCAGCTTATGCCATTTGAACTGTTTTTTATTTCTCCCATTAGTATATTTTCACTCGGCATGCTGTAGGGCCAAGAATTTCGAACCGTTAATGTGAAGTCCAGTAAGTCTATGTTCGCACAATCTTATCAAAAGTTAGTTTCCTAAAACCTGAGCTTTGTTTACTTTCATAATGTTCTGCTACGTACATTTCGTATTGGTGCCGGTAATGGTAGGGTTTCTTATAAGACGCTCGAGTGAAATAGAAATTATGTTGTGTCTGACTACATAGATTTACAGCTAAGTGTCATCCATATTTTCTAGCAGAATAAAAATTGCTTTTATTTTAAACAAACAAGCAAATTGAAACCTGTATGGAATTTTTTTTAAGCCATCGAAGCATTGGAGTATATTCGTTTCGTCGTAATGTTTGCAACTACCAAAAGGAAGCCACTAAGGCCGATATGAACTAAATATGTATTTTTGATCAGCGTCGAATTCCGTATCAAATTTGCCAGAGACATTGGAAGTTCCTTCACGCAATTTCTCATTAAAAATGGGCCAAACCGGTCGAAGAACATGCATCCAGTCAAGCACAGACTGAAAGTATCCTTATTCCCCTAGGCAAAAATTTGTGAGTTTTTGCTCATTGCTCATAAGTTATGAATTATGGAAGGATGAAATTTTCTATATTTTGTCCATAGGGGATTCTAGTATTTATGTTCAAAAAGTTTTTTCCGGTTTTCAATGCGGTCAATGCATTTAAATTCAAAAGATAAAGCGGAAAAGTTAAGAAAAACCAAAATGTGATAAGACATTATGTCGCAGACGTAGATGTTATCCCAACCTTAATCCTATTGTTAATGTATGCAATTAGCCCTACAATATTAAATAAGTACGTAGGTATAAGAAACATGTGGAGTGTTTAAATATAATTGAGCGAGCAAAAATGGGAAACTAAAGTTCCACTTTATCAGGTTAAACACAAAGGATATTCCTAACATGTGCCATATTTTCTAGTACTATTTTCTATCTGGCCGACAAGTCGGACTCGGCCTTACAGGCGTCACATACCGATTGACTAAACAAGGAGATTAAAGTTCACATTTGGGTGGAATGACATACCGCGATCAGTGTACGATACCACATCCCCAACGTTATGACTATCGATCGTGTAGGTGTACGCAACGGTCAATGATCTAGAGAATGACATTTTTTGAACTTGAAAAGGTTCGGTGACATTAGTTTATCAATGCTAACGAATCAGCAATAAAAAGTTCTACATTCATTAAATTTGGAATAGAGTGAAAAAGCTCAACGTCGTCTGTATACACCGTAACATTACCCTGCGGAATGACAGCGGGACGATCGTTAATGAGTAAAACAAAAATTAAGCGAACTCAAACGACTTTCTGATTAGATAAACACGACGCACACCATTTGACTAAAGAATCAGGAAATCCGATTTTTGATAGCTTCAACTCCCAGCTCAACTTACTACCCTAGTAAAGTGTATGAAAGCAACGTTACTTTGATTGGGTTCGGAAGAAGCTTCAAGAATATAAATTTATATTGAAATGTGCAAGGTATTTAATGGCCAGCCTCGCCCGGCTATAATGATTTTCCTTATTTATGCCTTGATGTCTTGCGTACTCACTCTCATTAATATTTTACATTTAATTAAATAATAATGATAAGTGGCTCTCAATTTGTGTAATTTGTTGCTGCCTAGTGTTGTGCTAATCAATTAATACTTAAACAACCGCAAAACAGACCATAATTCATTTCAGAAAGTTATAATCAAATTACAGTAAACATTTGTCGTTACGTCATTAATATTGTTAGAGTGTAACTAAATACATAAACGCTTCAAGAAAGCTTTCCGTTTGCTGGTTAGAGAGAAATTCAAAATCGTCACGACATGAAACAAGTTGGCTTCTATCACTGCCGCTAATTTAACGGTCATTAAATGCTTTCGTATTAATTAGAGTTATCATGTCATGTACTATCTCTAAGATATCAACCGTCAACGTTTTATTTCTGCACATACGGTCAGGAAGGGCTTTTGTTTGCTTGAAAAATTTTTCCACTATCAAAAAATCTGAAGTCAGTCGTTTAGGAATCACCTATATAGTTCTAGATGTCAGAATCTATTTGAAACTTGTAACGGAGCGTGATTTGCGCACTAACTCTTCAAGCGATTGAAATGTACTTGCATACGTACTTTTGGTTGGTATTTCGCTTTACTCTCTTCTATGTGTACACCAAAGGCAGACAAGTGTGAGGACATATTCTCTTAGAGGCCCTTTATTGGGAAAGATCGTTTTATTTCCGTATTTGGTTTAATACGATGTCATACGTTAAACATGATGTTTATGGTAGAGGGTAAATAACGCTAAGAAGGATTTTAGAGAGACTTCAGATAGATTACTGAATCCATTTAAAATTATTTGTTGGTGTGTCTCTGTGCTTTTTTATTTGTATTTACGGCAATTTTCGCCATTGTTGCGATACGTTGGCGAGACTTAGGGCGTAGAGGGGTTTTAAGCCAAAGGTGTTAGGAGTGGATCAAATCAGCCGATTTTTGCCACCGGTCCACGTAAAACGTCATATTTTGAAAATGTTTTTATATTGGAAAAAAGTTGTTGTATTGAAAAAGTTTTTGAACCCGCCGTGATATAAGGGCTTCCGTGAAAAGTAAGGCTTTTTATTGCAAAGAAGTTCAATTTTTAGCGGTTTATGACCAAAAGAGCTTTAGAACTGTAATTTTTTTAAATTCGGAGCATTTGAGTTTTGGACCTCCACGCAGGAGCCTATGAAGAGAAAATCTTTATATAGACAAAATATCTAATTCTTAATAATTTGTCAAAACGTCTGGAACTTGCAGAAGAAGAGATCCCACAAAGCACATATCTTCTCGATCAGCATCAAATTCTGGATCGATTTAAGCATGTTTGTGTGTCCATCGGTGTATTTTTCCTTGTTAACATTTTCGTGGCAACAAAAACGAATCTATCGATTTAAAATAGTGACAGAAACATCGAAGGTTGTTGCACACAAGTTGGTTCAGAATCAGTGGAAGGACACATCAGTTAAACTGAGTGCAACTCTGTCTTTCAAAAGAAACAGTAAATTAGTTCTTTTTATCATTACTCGTAAACTACAGCTGATAAGCGCACAAAAATGGACAAAGTCCGCCACGCCCATTCAGAATTATAGTGTATTAAAATTGCGCTTTTTTTAATAACGTGCAGAAGTTATCTTCAAAACCCCATAAAGTGAATGAATTCTCGATCAGTTTCAAATTTGGAATGCACCTAAGCGTGTCCGTGTGTTTGTCTGTCCACGAGTCCGTCTGCCAAGTTGTGTATTATCTGCGGTAAACATTCCCCAGCTCGTAGAAACAAACATATCCCCTGCAAACCGATGAAAAGGCGGATGTGCAACGCCCACACGAGTACACCTTTGCTTTCCGTATTTTTTGCTTGTTACTCATAATGTGTAACACATCATATAAATTCGTGCTCTAACTCTGAAAATAGAAAAAATCAACCGCGCCCCTCCCATATTATAGCGCATGAAAATTCAGTTATTTCGTGTTTATTAGGATAACAGTGGGTGACGAAGGGTATAAAAGATTCGATTGCGGCCGAATATAGTTTTCTTGCTTGCTTATTTTAATATTTAAATATTTGCTTAATAATCTCCTCGAATATTATTATTCGGTTGCCTTTCCTTTCATTTCTAAAAAAAGTGTCAAAATGACTTTAGCTTTTTTTTCTTTTGGCTGCGAAAGAGATGTTATCCCTTCATCCAATAATTAGAAGCCATACCTTGAGTTTGCTACAAATTGTAATCAATGATGGATATTAATAAAAGAATCATTTGAAAGATGAGAACGAGAGATTCATGTCAATTGGGACCACTGGCCTTGTCCTCAGATGTGTATGCTGTAGATATAAACTTCTTTAGAGAGCATTGCACGACGTCGTCGCGACTGAAAGATAATATTATTTGCGAACAGAATTTATTATCTCAGAAGAATGAAATTAACATGCGTGCTGCCTTTCCGCTCCCCTGCAAAAAATTCTGCTGACCTTAATAAAAACAGTTCGTTAAGTCAGTGGAATTTATTCCCATAATTTTTATCGCAGTTTTAATTAGAAGACCTACTAGTGATAATAGCAATAAGTTACTTCCAACGTATTGGCAAGTGAAACATTTTTGTTCTTCTTGTTTTTTTTTTTTTTTTTTTTTTTATAAATTTCCGTTAAGTCGCGTGCGCGTTACTATCTATAGATTTGATTCTTATATACCGATTATCAGCAGAGTTTAGAAAATTTGTTAACGTTTTCAGCAAGCATTCACCGCCAAAAGCGCTACCGCCTCTCGCCACAATTGCATTTGTTTTGTTTATGTTTATTTATACAAATATTGAACTTTTCATATTACGTATGTTTGTACGTGCTTGTATGTATGTGTTTCAATAAAATATGTTTCTTTTTTTTTTTTTGTATGTTTTTTATTAGTATTGGTATAGAATTAAAAAAGTAAATAAATAGGAAATATGGCAAAAGCATATAATAAATTGTTTTGTATTTCTCCCGGTCTCCCCAGATGTAAATATCACAAGAGAGGAGAGACTTTATTTCATTTATTTATTTATTTTAATTTTTTATTTTTTTTTTTGGTTGCCCATGTCAACCATATACCGTTATAAGAGAAAATAATAGACCGAGGAGGAAAATGAAAAGAAAAGAAAAGAAAAAAAAAACAAACAGGAAAAAACATAGATATTTTCGAGAGAAATTGTCGTAACAGAGATATTGTAAAGAAATTATTGTCAAGTTCATGTTTAGTATTAGTTCGCTATTAAAGGCGAACGGTGGAAACGGTAGTGTAGTTGTTGAGCAAATAATTACTTGGATATTGTTCTTATTGTTTAAGGTGTCGACGCTTTAGACGATCTGCTCGTGAAACTCAAATTTCAAGGGAAATGATTTATTTTGATTTTTTATAATTTCTTTATTTATTTAGTTTTTGCTTTCGGGTAAATAATAAACTCGTATAAAACCAGAAATATTAAATGTTATTGAAATTATTAGAATACAAACAAGTGGTTTATTGGCTTGTTTGTACTCTGGATCGCTCATACAGATGCACATAAACACATGCGCACCCATGCTTACATACATAAACAGTATATGAAAGTTTGTGAAGACACACATATAAATATTGAAACTCAACGATCGCCGTTGATGAAAGCAAGTGCAGAAATCAAATGAAATTAAATTTGCTGGCAATTTATGTGAATTGGATCTCAAAATACATGCAAACATTTAATGAAATGTTGAACACAGTAGACAGCCATTTGTTTAAGAATGTTTATCAAGCAAGCAGTCTTCAACGTATTGTCACACTTAACACAACTAAGACGGTTTTAAAGAAGGATAACAAAAAATCCTTGAAAATTATGTAAAATTTGTAAAATAACAAAAATAATAAAAAAAAACATATATATATATATATATATATACATATAATATATGTCCTTCTATCTCCTTACGTCATAGTTGAAAATAAATAAATAAATTCGTGCACCTAAGTGAGCGTGATTAATAAAATTGCTTCTTAACAACTCTCCGCATTACAAAGACTTTGTTTGAGTGCGTGCCTGGCCGATTGATTGCAAACAGTCTTTTTTTTCAGTTCCAACTGTTTGCTGTCAGCATGTCTAGTGCGCCTTTTAGTGATGATAAGACAACTTTAAAAAATGATGAACAAGTTACACCGATATTGTGCCAGGGCCTCAATAAGCCGCGAAGGACAAAACCCTTGGGAGAGCGTAGTAAGGCTGTATGGCGTCAGGAATTCATGGTTTTCTTAGGCAATGTTGGTGTCTTGGGTGCGGGCATGGCAGTTGCATTGCCGTCGGTAACCTTGGATCAATTAACTAATGCTAATGAAAGTTTTCATCTCACGATAGAAGAAGCCAGTTGGTTTTGTATGTCTGAAGCGCTATTCTCTAAAAGAATTGGAGACAGAGAAATAAAAAGTTCTTACTTCTTATCTCCTTCAGCTTCTATCAACACTATGGCTTGTCCCTTAGGTGGCCTTTTAGTTGGTTATTTATTGGATCGTGTCGGGCGTAAGAATACCATCTTAGGCACCCATATAACAGGAGTTCTAGGTTGGGCTCTACTAGCTTCTTGTACCATGTACAGTGACCGTACAACAATATTAATACAAATGTTATTGGCTCGTTTTCTATCGGGTAAGTCAAGAGACATATATCTTTTCTTTGCTAAAAAACATTACTCTTGAGCTTTTACTCAGAAAATTGTTTGTACATGTTTTCTTTTAAAACAACTCCCTTTCGTTGCAGCAATTGTTGCTGTTGAAATTTTATTTGAAATCATCTTTCAACTGTGCAAAAATTGTTTTCGATTGTTGCGTATTGAAGCAATTAACTTAAAAGTACACGAGAAATATGTGAAGACATTGCTAGTTTATATGTTGCGACAGTCTTTCTCATTCTTGGAGGGGAGAAACGATTATAGTGAATTTTTTGCACCTTATGACACTTGTGGCAAAGGTGTATTAAGATGGGGCTTTCTAGAAAAGTAGGTCCTTGCGCGAAAATAATGTGTAATTTTTGGTGCACTGTTACCAAAACAAAGTGGTGCTAGGGGAAGCGGTGTAGAGGGGGGGAAGGTAATTAATGGTCGGAGCTACTCGACCCTAATGTTCTTACTTGTTTTTGTCTTAAGGATCTTTCTACTTCCTTATAAATATTTAAGCAGGGTTTTCTTGCCTATCGAAACACACAAATTCTTAAAAGATTCATTCGAATTCCTTAGGTGTTATGATTGGTCTCTGTCTCTCGCCAGTGGGGGTCTATTCGGCAGAAATAGGTTTGCCGCGAATACGAGGACGTCTGATATTGGGTACTTCGATAGGCATAGCAGCCGGTATATTATTCATGTATATATTGGGTTACTTTATCAGGGTAAGTGAATAGTGTCGAAGCCATACATTGAGAAACTTTGCGTTAAATACCCGTTTCCTTTCCAGAACAATTGGCAGCTGATCGCTATAATATCGACTGTTTTTCAAATTATTTCCACGTTATGTGTCTTACCTATGCCGGAGACACCTAGTTGGCTAATGCAGAAAGGGCACTTGGAAAAAGCTCGAAGATCCCTAAAATATTTCCGCGGTCTTAACATGAATGGTAAACTCCTGCGTGTAAACTAAGAGAATAATTCTCATTTTTTACTTTAATTCCTTCAGATATCGCATACTGTGAGGAGTTCGAAAATGAATTCAATCAGATCAAACGTAGTTCCGAAATAAGCCGGAACACGGCTCAAACAGAGTCGTTACTGCAGGTCGTATGTGCTCCTGAAGTTTACAAGCCTTTGTTAATCATGATTGGATTCTTCGGCGTTCAGCAATGTTCCGGTATAGTGGTTGTTGTTGTGTTTGCTGTACAAATTGCTACCGCAGCAGGAGTGTCCACAGATCCCTTTCTTTGTGCTGTAATGGTGGGCGTAGCTCGTATAATTACCACCTTATTTATGAGCTCTTTATTCGAGCGTTGGGGTCGAAGACCTGCTGGCATGTTTTCTGCTTCCGGGATGACTGTATGTATGCTATTATTGGCTTTATCTGGTTGGTATCCCAAGGCTTTTGCTAGAGTCTCGGTACTGCCTGCCGTATGTATCGTTATGCATATCATCTTTTCGACCATGGGCTTGTTGACTTTACCATTTTTTATGATTTCGGAAGTGTTTCCGCAACGTTTTCGTGGCACTGCATCGGGGTTAGCAGTGAGTTTAGGTTTACTCGCCTCTTTCGCGGTTGTCAAACTCTACCCATCTATGGTGATTGTTATGGGCACCGCTTATGTGTTTGCCTTTTATGGTTGTATATCTTTAGTGGGTGTGGCTTACATATATTTTCTCATACCAGAGACAAGAGGTCGCACTTTGTTGGAAATTGAAGAATATTTCCGTACGGGACGTATGGTCTCATTAGATCAAGTTCTCGAGCAAAACCTTGAAAGGGGCGAATGTAAAGAGCTTTTTATTAAAACTTAATTTAAGAACAGAGATGAATGAATGAATTAATGAATAAGTGATTCGTGTACTTAAGCAACTTTATACATAAGATTTATCTGTTATGTAAGAACATTTCCAAAGAATTACTGTAGTCTGTGATCAAATATATCTCAAATATATGTATGCGTATATATATATATATCAAATGTCTGCTTTATTAACATTGATTTTATATGATGACCATTAACACCAATCAATCACGAATGATCGTTATTGGTCGTTTAAACATTATCTCTCATTTTTATGAATGTATGTCATTGAAAATAACGCACATCGGTATACGTTAATATGCTATAACCGGCCAGTTGCAAGCAATAAAATGCGAAGCGATAAGACATGCAAATTAGTCATGATTAGACTCATAGGCATAGGCATTACTGCATATGCTTTGTTTGTTTTATAACACGCAAGGAATAGATTACAATTTCTGTTAAACTTGCCCTTAAGAACAAAAAATAAATATTAGCAGATGTTCTGCTGGAGAGTTCGAGCAGTTCTTCACAGAAAAGTAAAAAAGAAAAAAGATTAGCTTACGGTGGTGGAGCAGTCAGTCAACAAAACATGCTACAAAAGTGATGGAATGGAAGAGAAGTTCTATGAAAAGCAGACGTGAATTCAAACCCGACTTATTCTTTCGTGCTTTTTCCAAGATAATAATTTGAGGACGTTACTCGACGTTTCTACTTCAAATATTTGAATCTTAAACGAATTTTAAAATTTGAGTAAAATAAAAAATTGAAATTTCATACAACAAAAAATTTACAAAAAATTCAAATTATTTATATAAATTTTGTTATTTCTATTTTTTTTTCTATTCCATAAACTCAAACAAAGTTAAATAAAAAAATGTTAATAAAATTTGAAAAAAATTAAAAATTAAAAATATAAATTTTTGTTGTTTTTTTTTCAATAAAAATTTTCAAAACCAAATTATAATGAAACAGTTATAGTATAATAAATAAAATAAAAGCTAATAGGTGCACAAATATACTGCTACAAGACTTAATAGTTGAAATCTGCACCATTGCTATCTATAGTCTTTTATCATTCACCGTGGAGCTTGGGGATGGCCTCGCGGAAGAAACTTGCCCTTTGGAGGCGAGATGGTCATTGACCCATTTTTGGGTGTCCTCAATTACTGTGAATCGCTGACTAGCTAAGTATGACTACATAGACCTAAATAAGTAGTAATCGGAAGAGGCCCGACCTGCAGAATATGCGGACTGCGGTAAAACTTGCCAACCTAACCTGAAAATTATATACTTAGTTGCTTTTTCTGAAGACGAAGGGACGTAGTCGAATTTTAATCGTTTTCACGACTGAAATTTGGTGACCAATATCTCGCAAATCACTTTCGAACAACAGCTTGTTGCCAACTCAAACTCACATCGTTCCAATATCAATATCTAAGTTATTTATGACTTAAATTCAGGGTACATTGAATCACTTTTTGAATCCATCGTGACAACAAAAGGTGGATCTACCTTAAATCCGCCTGGGTTTTGCATATATCCGCACAAACTTACTGTGCCCCTTTAGCACAAGTGTTGTAAGGTATAATGGTTGATTTTGGTTATACGCGATAGAGTTTCGGCAAGTTTCCAAAAGATGACGAATTCAAGGCCACATCGACACTATTGTGGATACAGCCACCTTTAAGCTCTACCCTACGGTGTATGCCAAATGTACAAGCCTTAGGTAAGAGGTTTCCTTCTGTGAGCTTTGACTATTATGTGTGAAAAGGCATTGTTTACCGGAAAGCATTATATGTTTTAGATTCCTCTTCACCAGACCTGGGACCCGTAGTTTTTGCTGAAAGTTGTTGAAAACCTTAAAAAAATTATTTCCTGTTTATATATATATATATACCGAACTTGTGCTTTCAATTTTACGTTTTGCAACCTTGGGAAAACCCGAAAGCAGTTATTTGATCAAACGAAGGATGTATACTTATGATGCTTCGAATGGCTTTTTCCTTTGCTCTATGTTACAAATGAGTTAATGAAAGTGTCAGGCACGCTTTATAAAGCAACCAATTTCGACGCGAGGAATTCATTTGTACACATAATAATAAAATAGAAAGATTTAGTGAAAAAACAGATAACATAAAAATTAATATATATTATTAATATTTATAATTTGTAATTAATATTATTATTTATTTGGGAAAATAAAATTAATAATAATAAAATTAAAAAACAAAAAATATCCAGCCATAAAAATATTAATATTAAAACTAAATAAAAAAACTTAATGAAACAAAAAAGTTTACGAAACAAAATATTTAAACTAATTTAAAAATCTAAAGAAAAACTTGCGCACGAAGCCGTGCTAGTCGGTGCTTTTCATATAAACAACTTTCATTTGCGGTAAAACTATTCCCTACGTTTTAAAAATAAACGTACCGGCCATTGGTAAGCAAACTAATCCATTTCCATCTGTAGATGCTTCCTTTCATCGTGAAATGTGTAAGTGATACCTTTAAACGTTAGTTTTAAAAGTCGCTGTTGCTCAAAGCACAGGAACATAGATAAAGTTTTTACCCCTTGTTTATTAGGTGCGTGCATGTGTCTACGGTGATTAAACCCGTCTCTCTGTATAGACCAGCTTTTCAAATTAGCGTCACTAAGCACCGTTTTTTGTTTCCTTAATTCCGCGCTTGTCCACTGTTAGCTCCTCCTGTTCCCCAAGTAAAAAGAGTTACAAGAGAAAGGGGGAAAATTATATATAAAAAGGAAAACAAACAACCGCAAAAAGTCACACACTAGCAACTTATTTTAATACATTGTACTATCTTCTACGCACTGTAGCATCAAGTATTCTTGTTCATCCTCGCAGTCAATATCCACGTCCGCAAGGCCGTGGCACATTTCAGCTAACCATTTGACGCTGTACACTAAACCACGTTTCTGACATTCCACTATACCATATCTTAACACTCTTTCAGCGTCGCGTACGTTAAAGAAGTCATTCTCCATTATTTAACAAGTTGTAAATCTCTAGGGAAAAGCTGGAAAAAGGAAAATAATTAATACATAATTATAAAGAGCGAGTTATTAAGCGCTGCTTACTCGAAAACCGAACTGTCATGTTGATCACCCCCTATTAAAATCTCCGCTATACTTCTAATCGTTGTTTATAAATTGAATAAATCGATTATATTTAGCGAGGCGTGGCGATGAATAGCCCACGCAGCCTAGGCGTACATATAGAATAAGTTAAACATGTTATGTAAAAATATTAGATGTTTAGTGTTTAGTGTTTTGGAATTTTCTTAGTCATAGATTCTCAATGTCATACATGCTTGAAAGTGTGAAGATTTTTATCTAATTGAATGTGTCAAAGGTTAATATCGAACATTTAAAATTTCTTGTATTTTACAAGTTCGCTTATAATTAAACCGTCATAATTTTTAAACAAAGTCCTCGCTAAATTCCCTGTTCAAAGACAAAGCACAGAGTCGCTTATAAATGGTTGAGTGCCCAACTAACAACTTAAATGTTAACGCCAATCTTAAATGCCGAACTTAAGATTCAACTCTGTGAAATTATCTAACGGACCAAATTATCTAACGGACCAAATTATCTAAGAAAAATTAGCAAAAGCCGTCGGCAAAACAACATTATCTAACGGACCAAATTATCTAAGAAAATACATGCAAAACAAAGAAAATACGCGAACTAAACTTATTTAATTTTACAAGTTAGCCTAAAAGTAGACCGCCATAATTTTGTTTTTATTATCAAATTAAACAAAGCAGCAGCCAAATTCTCTGCAATTTGCAGAACGAACGTAATACTCAATGCTAGCAAAACGTAAAGAAATATGTACAATTAATACTATTGAAATACAACTCTGTCTGTAAATTTGTAATCGCAGGCATAAACCATTAAGCATTATAAAGGTAGATAAGGCAGTGTTTTTGTGTTTGGAAAACAATGAAAATAATTTGTTCACAAAAAAAAAACAATTTTTTCGATAATCAAAGGGAACGTTTGAGCCTTTAACGCTTAAGTTGATTATATTGGAGGCATCGCGTCGGCGCACATATAAATTTTTAATTCGACCTAGTGCTCATCCTACTTGCTCAGTCATACAATTCATTTTATTGGTCTAAACAAACCATTACAATAATAATAAAAATAATAATAGAAGGTTATGTAAGTATGCAAATTTAGCAAAAGGCATCTAGAAGAGGTAAGAAGCGAAAATCATTGTGTTCAACTATTTCAATGCCTGATACATTTCTCCAAGCATTTGTTCCGTTCTTAATGAACTGCGGGCTTCGGTCCTTTTAGCCCGTTTCTAGTTGAGGGGGAGGAGGGTGGAATAAGTGTCTGACCGAAATCCTCTTTCAATTCCAAACCATTATCTACTAATACTGTTTAAGAGCTCTTGTTCTTGGTGCATATTTGTACTGACGGTTGCCACATAAAGCCTTCTTATAAACTTGATCTTTGGCTCTAAACTATGAGAATACATGAAAAATCGCATATTTTTATCTCAGTTTTTGGCCACTTTGACCTTTACAAGAGTAGACAACAGACGAAAGGACGAACGAAAGGATGAACAAATGCGGGTATGCAGGAATAAACAGAGAGAATAAGTTTAATTGTCCTCCAATCTGATCAATTTGTTTAAGTTCATCCAGAAAATATGCACTCTATGGGAACTCTAGAGAAATTGCTGGTTTCGGCTTTATAAATATGCCTTATTACTCTTTTTCTACTCCTCGGGTAAAAAAAACCCCTTCTTTCAATGATGAGTGTATAGCCTATCAATCAATAAGTTTCCGGCCTAACATATATATATGGCAACATTGTTAACAGACCCCTTTTGTTCAAAATTTCATCACATTCTAATCATCAGTTTGTTGTGAAGTTAATTTTGTTGTTGTTCTATTGGCGCTACTAAAAGAAGTTGCATTTTTGGCTATGTTACTATAATACGTGCAAAATATTCATATGTAATTAAAGCTCTAAAAATATTTGCCATTAATTTAGAATGCAACGGTTTACTTTCTCAGTAGGAACTAGT